GAGGGGACTCGGTCTGCTCAGGGCAGCACCGTCATGGAGGGTAACAGCCCCACACAGCCGAGATACTCGCTGAGGCTCAGCCAACGTATCAATTAAAAGACAAGGGAAAATGCTTAACGCTTCGATAGCCCCGTGTTTAGATAGACATGGCTCAAGAGGCTCATTCATCTCTTCTCGTTCTGCCCAGCCGGCCGTTCAGGGGCAGACAGACAGACCCGCCGGAGCTTCCCGTGCTGCTGCCGGCACTGCATCAAAATGCCAAGTGCTCCACCGCCTGCCCTGACATTTACAGAGCAGCTCCCGGGGGAGCCAGGGAGGGGTGCCGCCATGAAACATTGATCAGAGTTATTATAAAGTACTTGATCAACATTACAGCAGCAGCATATTATCGCGCTGACTCGTCAGAGGGGAATCGTCACCAAGAGCACCCCAGGGTGCTGCTCCAGCCCTGGAGCTGGGCCAGAGGAGGACTGAGCCAGGACCAAGGTGGGGGGACACACAAGCCCCTTCCTATGCCCTGAGTTGCCGGAGGTCCCCATCTCACCTGCACGGTGGAGACGAACTGGATGGTGCTGACGAGCGCGAGGGAGGTGCCCGCTGCGAAGTTGAAGCGAATGGTCTCGAGGAAATGGGACGCATCGATCTTTATGTCCACGAACACGTAGAGCATCTTCAGTCCCCGTGTGGCATCAATGGGAACTGGTGAGAGGAAGAGAGAGGGTGTGAGCATGGGGGCACACCTGGCGTTGCGGTGAGCCCCCAGCCAGGGGATAAAGCACGTTGGTGGGGCTCCCTGTGCCCCAACCAGTGTGGGCAGGCCAGGGTGGGCCGGCACCCTGGGCAGAGGGTGCGGTGGGGCGCCACAGAGAGCACCCGTTCATTTCTCTTTGGATAATGGCAGCCTGGGGAATCAATGAACACAAATCTAATTACCCCCGGTGCTAAGAAGCCTGTGTCACCACGATTAAGTGAATAATTAAAGTACACAGAGTCCACATCGATCCACAGCTCCGCGTTCACTTCCCATTTTGGCGCTCTTCACCTGATCACAATTAAGTGCAAATTACTCTCTCCCGCAGGGCACGTGGGGCCGGGAGGGAGAGGGCAAGCGCCTGTGTGCCGCACAGGGACGCGCCCCGCCTCAGCCACACCGGTGACAGGAGCACCATGGGCAGCCTGAAAGGAGCCCAGCACAGCCTCAGCACCCTGTGAGCACCCCAGGGTGCCCAACAATCCACCTGGCATGGTGAAGGCAAGGACCACACAGCCACGGGCAGCGGTGGGGGGCTGGACTGGTGACAGGGAGCCCGGCAGCGCGTGACAGGCGGCCTGGCAGTGCCTGCCTGTCCCTAATGGGAGCAGCTCCAGAAGATGTGACTCCAGTCCCCCAGAGCAGCCTGGCTCTTGCACTGGCACGCTCCTGAGCGCTGCTGAATACAGCCCCTCCTCCCCTTCCTGCTGTTCATTCATGAAGAGCAGGCTACAAACCAAAGGGTTTATACCCTGTTCCAGCGGTGCCCATAACCCTCCTTCCATAACAAAGCACCTAGCACAGATATTTATCACCACGAACGCTCACGCCGATGTGGCTTTCAGGATGGAGTTCTCAACTGCGGAGTCAGTATTTCATACGGAGCTTGATGCAATTCTTCAAATCCATTTACACGGCCCCATAAACGTCCAGGAGGGCTGCCAGGTGCTGGGAGCATGGTGGCAGCAGGGACACACGCGCCTACCGCTCGCTTACAGCAATTCTGCCAATCGCTACGGCAATTCCGCCGATCCACCTTAAAACCCAGAGCGTCTTATTGTTATTTTTGGGCTGATTCCATCCTGGGTGGACTTCAAAGTTAGCAGCATCTGGGACAGCAGCGCAGTTTCCATGGCAACTGGATCCAGAGTACCGTCCGCCTGGGGAGCATGAAGCCTCCTCCTCCCTTCCCCGCCCAGCCTGCGCTGCACCCGCAAAGCCACCTTGCCTGTGCCGGCCCCC